TGTTGGTGCAGGAGAGCCCAGCCCATCAGTCCTGAGGGCAGGCAGCTCTTGGGCAGTGTTGCTGGTGGCCTCTGGGGCCAGTGACAGGACGGGGAGCCACAGGAGCAGCCAGGCAGCAGAGGGGCTGAGGGTTGTGTGGCTGGCTGGCTCTGGGTCTCAGCATCATGCCCAGCCCTCTCCCATGTGGACAGGGGCTTTGGAGCCAAGCTTGCTCTGTAACCTAATTGCAGGACTGCAGCCACCCAAGAGTGAGCATGGGGAGTTGGAGGTGGAATTCAAATCATCTAAAATGAGGAGTACAGCAGCATCTGGGCCTAATGCCATGGGGCTTTTCTCCAGTATGCACTTGCCTTTGGATAATTGGAAGTTGGATCTTCCTTCTATATATAATTTCTTCTTCATATGAAGGCATGATTCCTCTCATTAAGAAGGTGTTGAATTTTCCTGCAGTGGAAGATTCATTTCCTTGAAGTCTTGATACACATTTTCTTGTTTTTTTTACTGAGTGTAATAATGACCAGTAGACTCCAGATGCTCATTCTTTGTCAGGGACAAGAAGAAACAAGGAGGAAACCAGCTGATTTTTAAAAAGAAGCAGCATTTCCAGCACTTCCAGAGGCATTTTATAGCACAGGGGAGGAGAATGTATCCCTCTTGTCCAGTCCTTTCCTATCTTCTCTAGCCTGAGAAATGCAAAAGGAAGCTGTGCCATTCTGAACAGATTGAAGTAATATCTATGGGTTGGAAGGAAGATTCAGGGAATTACAAGTTTGAATGTCAGCTTCACCTCAGTCCCTTGGGAGGTGAAGAAAATCCTCTTAGAAAGCATTTCCAAACACATGAAGGACAAGAAGGTGATCAGGAGTAGTCAACATGGATTTACAAAGGGGAAATGATGCTTGACCAGCCTTGCTGCTTTTTTAATGAGGTGACAAGCTTGGTGGACAGGGGAACAGTGATGGATGTGGTTTACCTTGATCTTGGTAAGGTTCTGGTCTCCCATAACATCCTCACAGACAAGCTGACAAACTGGGTATGGGTGAAATAAGTGGGCAGTGAGATGGATTTAAAACTGAGCAACCCAGCCCACAGGGTTGTGATCAGTGGTACAAGGTCCAGTTGGAGGCCAGTCACTAGTGGTGTACCTCAGGGGTCCACACTGGGACTGGCACTGTTCCACATCTTCATTAGTGACCCGGATGATGATGCAGAGTGCACTCCTAGAAAGTTTTAGGTGATGAAAAACCTGGGAGGAGTGGCTGATGAGCCAGGGGCTTGTGCTGCCACAGAGAGAGAGAACATGGCAGTCTGCAGAGAGTCTCATCAAGCTCCACACAGAGAAATGCCAAGTCCTGTATCTGGAGATGTTTGAGGGTAAGCCCCTGCACCAGTACAGGCTGCAGGTTGGAAAGTAGTTCTCCAGAGAAGACCTTGTGGTCTTGGGGCACAGCACAATGACCATGAGCCAGCCATGTGCTTTTGTGGTGACAGTGGCCAACAGCTTCCTGGGCTGCTTTAGGAAGAAGACCACATCAGGAAAGAAAGAATTGTGTTTCATTTTTTTTTGTAGATCTGAGTTAATTTCCAATCAGAATGGGGTTTAGCTTGGGAAGGTATGTCTGTGCCATTCAAGAGGCAGATTGTGAGGATGTGGTTACCTCATCTTCAGCTCCAAGTAGGGAAGAGAATGCAGGTTCTGTAAAAGTCTTGCAGGCTCTATTATGTCTTTTCTGTCTGTAAGTGCTGACTGCCTTTAGTTCACATTGCCTTGACTGCAAGATAGTTCCTGATCTATACCAGTGTCCCTAAACATTCTTCATAACTCATTTCAAATGTCTGGTCCAAAGGAGAGTCAAGAAGTGGGTTCATTTAAGCTGATTGACTTCTGTGAAACAGAGTAAATGTGGAACTTTATTTAAATCCAGAAATCCCTCCTTGGGGTTGATTAATGCATATGGTCTTTATTTTGTTCTCAGAAACCAGAAAGCACTTAAATAATAGTACCTGCAATGTGTCCCTCACCCCTTTTGTAGTGCAGGTCTGGAGCCCAGGTGTATATTGTGACGCACACTGAAATCTTCTCATGAGACTGCCCATCACTTGACCTGTACTTGTGCTCACCCTGGCTTGCTGGCTATGGGTTATTACACCTGTACTGCTGTCATGACCTGTGAAGTGCTATATTGAAATGGAAATAGCAGTGCCCGGGGTTTTTTGATTATTTTTTTTTTGTGCCTCCAGTTTTTATTTTCAGGGTGTATAAACCTGCTCCCCTGAACACAGATGCATAAAGAACACTCATAGCATTTGATCACTTCAGTGCTTTGCCATTCCTTTCTCTCTCTCTCTGTGCCTCCGACTGACTTCTGAGATAATGTTCAACTGTATCCCAGACAGTTACATATTTATCACTTTATCACTCAGTTCTCTGGAACCAGAATCCCAGGGGGAAAAAGGTACAGTCATCCCCTGGTATATCATGATAAACCAGTATCTGGTGAAGGAACTTCAATATTTGTCCGTTTCAAAGAAAAGTGATATTGGGTGGCTCTCTTACTTGTATTTGTTAGCTTTCTTTTTTTAACAGGTGAGTTTTAAACTCTATCTGCAGGCAATATAGTGTGGCAGATAGGGTACAGCTTTATAAAAAATTGTTGAGAGGTCCCCTTTGCACCTGTCCTATGAAACAGAATCACATGCCTGTGAACTGAGGACGCTCTTTAGAAATCTCATGTTGCAAGATTTATGCTAAGGAAGTAAATCTTTGAAAGAAATATCTCTTGCCATGCAGTGCTTTCTTCCTGTCTGTGTGCTGAGGCACATCTAAATTTTAAAAAGGGAGAATCTTTACTAATTGGATTTGGAGTTGATTTAGTCATGAAGAACTGTTGAAATGGAAAGCATGTTTGTTCAAATCCACGGTTCTACCCTGTCAGGAGTTGAGCTGATTCTTCATTGGTACCATGTATCTCCTTATTTCCGAGGATGTACTTGCTGTCCTTGGATAACTCACATTCTTCTTTATGCTTCTCAATTTCTTTATACCTTTTAACTGAAAAGAAAAATACTGCTATGCTTCCATGAAATTGAAAGAGCTGGGTCTAGCTTAAACTAAGGTTTTTTCCCCACTGCTTTTTATTATTTGGATGGTGGTTGTACTTCAAGAGTCCAGTCCTCCTCCTTATCCTTTGTACATTGAAAAAAAACCTGCTAAAGTTAATTGTTCATGCATGAAATGAGCCAGTGAGCAGATTTAATATTTCTGTGAATTAACATTTCCTTCTTGATTTTTACCATGTAAAACCTGGGAACTGATTATTGTGAAGACACCTAAATAAGGGAAACTTCTTCTAGCCTTTAGTGGTTAGAGAATGTTGTCCTCATCCCATCTTTATCCAAGAGTAAGGCTCAGTGCTTGCTGTGACTTGTTGTTGAGTCTTCCTACAGAATAAAATTTCATTAAATTTAGTTTTAAATTATGGAAATAATAGCTGTGCCTTGCATCACTTAGAGTGTGCTCCTAGCTTATAGGGTAAATTATCTCCTTCTGATTGTTCAGGTTAAGTTATTTTTATTAATATTTAAGTTATTATTATTCAGTGGCTAAGTCAGATGACTCTGCTTAACTGACATTAAGATTCAGAGAGCAGGGCTCACTTACAGGGCTAATATCAGCTCCTTGGACTGCCACAGTAAAAATAATGGATCTGGACCAGCTCTGACAACAGCTTAGCCACTTGTGTGGGAAGGAATCCTGAGCACTGACTTTTTTCTCTGGAGCCATGGTAGTTCACTGTCAAGACATTGATGTGGCTGTTTGGATGGAATTTGGTTTGGTGAAGGTCCTTGTGAAGTTTGTACATACAGACCTTTTGGTTACCCTTGTACACGTGTATGTTTATCCTGTCCACTCAGAACTGAGCAGGTGAAACCTGGCTAACACTTAGGGAGAATCTAAGCTATGTTGTTTGGGCGTTGTGGTTGGGTTTTTTTCTCTTTTAATCTTAAGGGAATTATTCTGATAATGAATGCAGTTGGTTAGGAGTTTGGAAGATGAGTGTGCAGGAAAGAATGGTGCAGTCTTGAAGTGCTGGCTTCCTCAGATACTTTTTTAATGTCCAGGAGAAACACTTAAACTGTGAATCATTACAGCTTCTGGCTGATTTTTGATGAACTAAAAATTACAGTGGCTGAAAGCATGAATTGACTGAGTCTGTAATAAAAAAATATTTTAGTATATTCTTGGTAGAATTATTTTGATCACCCAGGTTAGCCAGGCTGGTGGAAGCAGCAAGATTAATAAAATAAACAAGTAGCTTTAGATTAAAGAAAAAAAGGAAATAGCTTTTGTCCTTAGCAAGCATACAGCTGTAAGAAGTTGTACAATAATGCTTTATAGTTTTATGTGGCAGTGTTAACTTATAAAAGTTTTGGGGCTGAGGTGAATTAAATCAGTTCCTCCAAATGTTTGTATTATTTACTCTGATACTGCCTTACAGTCCACTAACACTTCTGCTCTGTAGGTGGCAGAAAAGGAAGAGTAAAACTGTTAGCTCAGGTCTCCTGATTGTGTGTGTGAGAAATGTCACAAATGAAAGTGAAAGGTGTGTTCATGGACACCTCCATTTTCACGGCTTTCAGTGGACTCCTGAAAGTCTCTGGGCTTCAGATGCTTCAGTCACTGGTGCAGCTCCAGGCATCCAGTTCCATTTCTCTATTTGACATCCTTTCTGTTGTACATAGAGACATCTTCAAGCTGAAGCAGCTGAAACTGCTGCTTTCCTTCTGGCCATTGCCCCTTTCACGAGGGAGTTGCTTCAGCTCATTTATCGGCTAATTATAAAACCTTATTATCATGCTTGTCCATTTTGTTGGGACCACCCCATTTACATTAGATATTTGTCTTTTGCTTCTAAGTGTCATTTTGTTGTGCTTAAAATCATCTCCACAACCCTCTGAGCACCAAAGTGAACACCTTGAATGTGCCTTTTGTCTTCCAGATCACGCTGCTGATTGGATTCATCAGTGTAAATAATTCTCCATGGACAGATTACAGTGCATACAGCTTCTTTCAGATTGTCACCATGTGTGATCTGGTTATGATTTTGTTCTTCTACATCATGCACATTTTCAGAGTCTACAGGAAGCTGACTTGTGTTAGCTGGCCGCTCGCGGTAAGCCTGGGCTCCTCTCCCTCTCCCTCTCCCTCTCCCTCTCCCCCTCCCCTCTCCTCTCCTCTCCTCTCCTCTCCTCTCCTCTCCTCTCCTCTCCTCTCCTCTCCTCTCCTCCCCTCTCCTCTCTCCTCTCTCCTCTCTCCTCTCTCCTCTCTCTGCTCCTTGGGGTTGATGGGGCTTTCTCAGTCCATTCCCTTGTGCTGTTTTTCACTCAACTCTCACTCAAGATAGGCTGTCTTTCACTCAATTCTTTTTTGCCTCCTGTGCAAATCCTTTTGTTCCTTGCATTCAGCTCAGCAGATTGTGTAACTGTAAGATTTTCAGCTGATTTGGATTTGATTCTGCCCTCCTTTGCACAGACATAAATCTAGATTTACTATATGGAAGGCAATAATTTCATTAAGAGACAATTGAAAGGAAGCAACTGATCATCAAGCCTTCAGCAGGTGGGTCCTAGCTCAGGTCATTTATAGCAGCTCGGGGATTGCTGAAGTACCAAATCATAGCTTTAGAATTCATGTACTACATCCTGTCCCAAAATAAAGCCTGTGAGTGCTATTTAAATCAAATGTGCCTCTTTCTGGTATGGTTTTAGATAACTTAAACAACAGCAAAAAATAGTAGCCTCAGCCTGATTGCACAGCCTGGCCATTCCTGGGATATCCTGCAGGATGTTCCTGCCTCATTCCCGCGTTTCCCGTACACATCCATCTCTCATATCCTAGCAGAGAAGCCACAGGCAGCAGCAAAAATGTGAGACCTGAACTTCCTCATTAATATTGCTCAGGTCAGCTAACAGAAGAGTTTATCCATTCTAGTGTGGGATGATGGATTTTAACAACCTCTTAGAACATGCCTCCCTTGCATATGTTAGTTCCACTGAAGAAGGGCCAAAGGAGTGGGGAAAGCCAACTGGAGAGATAGAGAGGAATTTTTATACCCAATAAGTGGTTGGGTGGTGGTTCATGGAAACTATGTAAGCAATTTACAGATCTAAGATAACAGTTTGTCCATCCATCCATATATAACCAGAGAGAAAAATTTAATTTTCTTTTTCTTTTTAGCTGAAGAATATGGCTAGATTTTTTTTTCAAATAGTGCCACCACTATTTGTTTCTAAAGGTACTTATTTATCTAGAGATACTACAGAGGCAGGGATTCAAATAAAGGAGTGAAGTAAGCTAATAAATGACAGTTTTGCAGAGCAGTATTTAATGTGTGCATTGCTGTAACAGGACTATGCTATTTTTGCCTCTGCATGGGTTGCTTCTGGGGTTTTTTTGTTGTGTGTTTAATTATTCCTCAGTGTTCCAGAGTTTAAGGCACTGAAGTTTGTGGCTGCTCAGCTTCAGAAAGCTTTATAGGATGTGATGCTTGAACATTGCTGCTCTGTTGCAAAACAAACAACCTCATTTTCAGTCACATTTAAGTATCTTTAGAACAGAAGAGGAAGACGTGAGAGAGTCTGGAAAACTACAGCTAGCATTTGGATGAGTTTCCTGGCAGGATCTTTACATTGCAATCAGGGGTGTGATTTGCAGCCAGTAAAGCTGAAGTGGTTCAAGAGGTTGTTCATTGCTGACACCTTTTAAAGCTTGGAAGTATTTCTCCAGAGGGGCACACTTCCGGCCCTGCCGGGGTTGCTTCTCCACCTAATGTGGCCTCTGATGACTCTGTTGCAGCTTTGCCCATCCCTTGGATTCCCTAAAGTAGTAGCCTGTGCACAGTGCTTTATTTGATGTCTCTAAGGAGGCAGTGGAATGTCCCATTTGCTGCTGCGTCATGGGCTAGTCAGAGAAGCCTCCTTGTGCATATAATTTATTCTGGCAAATGCAAGGCTTGAGATTTTGATTACCCAAAACAAGTTTATAAATTAGGAAAGTAACTTGTGGTCTCAGCGCCTACTTTACAGGAAAAATCCTCCTCAGCTCTTTTGAACATCTGAGCAGAGTGAAACTGGTAGGGTAGACTGTTCATCTTCTGGCTTTCCTTGGAAAATTTCCTTTTGGGATTGTATTCCATCTTCTGATTTGAGACAGAATCTCTCCTCTCCTTTCCTTTGTATTTGCTTGGCTCATGCTGATAAAGGAAGCAGATATCCACCTGCCCCACCCCACTATGCACAAAAAAAACCAAAATAACCCATGTTCAGTGTCCAAACACTTGTACTGGTGTCATAAGCTTTGTGGGGATTCAAAATCGAAATCCAGAGATACAGCATGCTTGTAACTAGGTAAAATTGACTCCTGGACTGATACTTATCATCTCAGAGAAGAATTTAAATGTGGTGCCTTGGTCCTCTCTCAGAAAACCCCATGGCATCATGTTTTACTGCAGCTGTGCTTTTCATGGCTTCCCTCCCTTCCCTCCCTTCCCTGTGGTTCCCAGTCTCAGCTGATGGAAGTTTTTTGTAAATGCAGCAGTAGAAACAGTGCTTGCTTCCTAAGATTATCAGAAGTAGGAGCATTTGGTTTCCCACTTATGCCATTTCATATACGCTAGAGAAATGTGTCCTTAAGGCTCCTTCCTTGCTCCAGAGCCATCTCTTTAGGTAAGGTACATACTTGGTGCAATGAAGTAATGTACTGAATTGAAAGGATTGCATCCATACCCAGCAAATAAATCCTATTGCAGTAACATTAGTTGACCAAACTGTTGTTTTTGAACAGAAACTGACGTTTGGCATAAAGTCCACTCACAAAGTGAATTGCTGGGTTTTGGTTTTTGTTTTTCTGCTTTGTTTTACTTTGCTTCCCCCCCCCCCCCTTCCTTTTTGGCTATGTTTTGTCCTCTGGGTTTGAGGGTTTGAGTCATCTCTGCCAACTTACTTTCTTTCTGAGACACATCAAAATGCTTTGTAGATAAGTCTCCCTTCTGATGCATGCTGTGCTTGTCTTTTCAGGAGTTTCTTCATTACTTAATTGGTACAATTCTGCTTCTCATTGGATCGATTGTAGCAGCATCCAAGAGTTACAATATAACTGGACTTGTGGCTGGAGCGGTAAGACTGTGTTTATTAGGCTTGACACTTTTAAAATTGCAAAATATATTAAGTAGGCCATTGGAAATCTATCACTTGTACCTCTGTTTTCTTACAGACTTGCCTGACTTGTGTCTTGGTTGGGTGAACAACCTTCTAGCTCATTTCAGTAAATGTTCTGTAACACAGTGCCAACAAAAATATTTTGTTGGCAGATGCTGGACTCATCACTAATGTTGGTATTTGTCCTGCCAGAGCATTGAAACCAAAGGCTTCTGCTTTAACTCACAGGAACTAATGTGTTTAGGTGAAGAATTAAGACAATTAACTTTTGACAAAAGACTGTTGTAGCAGCTGGAAATTACCTAAAGGATTTCATTCCACTTTTCAGCTTTCAACGCTTTCTGCTCCTGAACAGAGCCCTGTTCAAGATAATTTCTCCTGAGCTAAAACCCAGTGAGGCTCTGAGCTGACTTCTGGCAGGTGCTGTCTGCTTCTCTTGGCTGGAAGGCTGTACAGAGAGAGGCATGACTTCCAAGTGTGGGTGACAGTATTTTCACAGCAGCAGGACCTGAAATACAACTCCTTCAGAATAAAGAATTACTTTCAGAAATTTAGTCCTGACGGTGCAAACAGACTAGGAGACCTACCTGACTTGTTTATTTGGCAGACAGCAGGGAAAGACTTGTTTGAATGGGGCAGTAAAAGAGCAGTAATCAGAGGTGCTAGAAACAGTCTTTTCTTTGTTGCAGAATCCTAGTGAGAAGGACTTGTTCAGAACTTGACATTCCATGCTGCTGTCCAGCTGTTTCTCTCTCCTTGTGCATGACTCTCAGTCTGTCTTTCGGTTTTAACAAGACATAAGCTGCCATTATACTACAGAAACTTCTGGGTTTTTTAGTCTTTTGTCAGAATGGAGTAAAAAAACCCACTATTTTTTGTGTCTGTTAATCCCATAAAATGTGTAGCTGAATATACAAAAGTGTCCATACATGCATGGAATATGTGTCATCTAATGCTCCATAAGTATTTGTGGTTTGTTTGTTTTCTCATCCAGACTTTCGGGTTCCTGGCTACGATACTTTGTGTTATAAGCATGTGGTCATCCTACAAGGTTTCGTGCATCACACAGTCAACAAGTAAGTATCGTGCTTACTAACTGCCTGAATGCTTCCCAAAATGAATATTTATATTGTCTGCCACAGGGCTGTGTCTACCTGGAAGAATCTATTAATGCCCTGGTTGCTGTGACTCAGAATTACCCAAAAAGCAATAATTCCAAATTTTCTGTCATCACAAACATTGTCACAGCTACTGACAGCTGTTAACATATAACTACTGGAGCGAAATAACTTGCTTCTAGCTAATAGTGAACATAGCAGTGCTTTCTTTTCTCCCTTCCCCACCCCTTACCAAAAAGTTTCCAGTGTGTTGCTTAATAAATTGGATGAATTTGTTTGTGGCAACACAAGTGACACTTGTCTTCCTTTTCAAAGATGCATCTGTGTGACTTCATCACCTGTGCAAGACGTCTGCCTTACAAAACAGGATGCCAAAGAGGAGTGTCCACTACTGAGGAGAGAGACATGGATGTTTTGTTACTAGCCTGGACAAGCTGGTAGCTTTGGAAGATCTACTTGAATTCCTATGCAAAACAATGTTGTGAACCAAAGTTTTTTTGCTCCCCCCACCCAAAGAAGTTTATAATGGGGAATCTGCTTGTTTCAGAGAAAGACAACTTCTTTCTCTCAAGCTGGGCTGTGGTGGCTGTTTCCTGCTATTTGCAATAAGTGTTATTTAAAACTCATTTGGACAGTCATTTGGTTCTCCTTTCAGAGGGATGGAAAAATTCCTTCTGATTTCCTCCATCTGTTTACACAAGGGAAATCCTGCAAATTCCTACCTGATTCTTAACTTCCAAGGATTATATGTTTAACAAATGAACAGTTACAAACTAATTTGTGCCTGGATAAGCTGACCCAAGCGTTTGTTAGCTCTTTCTATCAGAACTGTGGACTTTTTCTAACATCAGCTCAGCTAGCATCAAAATTTAAGAACTGCAACTTGAAAACATCATTGCAAGCACTTCTTCCTAGCCCCAACAGTACACGATGAAATCAGGGATTTTCTCCATGAATTTTTAGCAAAGATTATTCTTTTAAAATTCCCTTGCCAAATAGAGGAAAATACGCACCCGAGAACATACATTTAATGTTTTATGAGGTCTTTTTTCTCCTTTTCATAGTAAGCCCACTTCTTTAAAAAAATTCTATGCATTTGCTATAAATTATTTGCTTTGTAATCTTAACAGTGTTTATGGAAAGCCCATTGTGAAAGGAGCAATGTGCTTCTTTCTCTCTCTTACATGTGATATTGTCACTTCTCTGCCTCAGCTGGAATCCGTGCTCCTGGGGACTCTGCCCAGAGCCTGGACAGGCAGAACAATTCAGTTTTGTCCAACCTGGTATCATAATGAAATTCTATGTAACTTCAGTGCTGAGACAATGCCTTCTTGGCACCTTTGTCTTTCTTTTTGCAATCCATCTCTGGTGAGCTGGGAATTCTTTGCAGGAAAAAAGGAAGCATGGGCCTCTCTTCCTCTTTGGTGCTTCTCCTATCATGTCTAGCTGTGAAGTAGAACTTGGTTTATTCTGTTGGGATAAGTGCATGATGGTGCAGCAGAAGTTGGGTTTATACAGTTTACCAGGGACAGTCTGAAGAAAAAAGCATTTTCTGGCCTCCTATTTATTTTTCTATTTGTCTGAAATTCTGCATCAATAATGCTAAGTAATTTAATGGTTGTCTCAGAAAACTCTTTTTGTGCCTCATGGCAGGTCAATATATATTGCTATTTGTTGCCACCTTTTTTTTTTCATCCTAATATATGTATCTTTACTTAGAATTTATTTTTAATTCTGACAACAGAAAATTGGCCAGCTGCTAAAATGTCAAAAATTTTGAGTAAGTAAATGAAAGTAGATAACTTGAAGAGGTAAGAATCCCCCTCCTCATGGTGCACAGTTTCTGTGATTCTTTTTGCTATTCCTTTTCAAAAGTGTCCTGTTTGAAGCAACACAGAGCAGGAAACAATTCAAAAGGACAAAATTCTGTTTATAGTGGATGAAGGTACATACATTCACTCCAAGATATAGTGCTTCAGTATTAACACAGAGGATTATTCAAATAAACCATATAACAGGCCATATAACCATTAGTAACAGGTATATTGTTACTAATTTCATATTGGTGATTATTTTTCTACAGTGTTCAACTTCTGCCCCCTACCTTCAGATGATGTGTTTTATGCTTAGCCAGGGATGAGCCATTTTTTTCTTTTTGACAACCAGAATTGAGCATAGCTCAAAGGCTTTCTGGCAAGAGAGAACAAACATTCTCCTCAGCTGGGAATCCATTGTCAGCAGTGTCAGGGATAGCTCAGCCTTCCTTGTGCTGCCAGCACAGGACCACTCAAATGGCCTTATGTGACAAGAGACTTCATTCTGGGCACTTTGAGTGAAAATACCTGCAGAACAAGGTACTCACACACACACACACTCACACACATACGTGTGTGTATAATTTTTTGCAACAGGGGTGCTTGATCTCCAGTCCTCCTGCCAAGACTGACTTTACAGTTTTTGGAAAGCAGCACTCTGGCTTTAATTTGCACTGATATGACAGATGTTTGAGGATACAACCTCTCCTGTTTTCCTAGAAGAAAAAGGCTGTGCTATTTCTCCTTCACCTCCTGAGGTATTACCTCAGATTGACAGTAGGAACCTTCCCACATTAAGCTTTAAGCCCACTTGGCAGTCCTGTGGCAAGCAGTGTTGTGCTGCAGACAGGGTGAGTGCAGCTGACACCTCAGCCCTGCAGTGGCAATGGGGAGAAGCACCTGCTAAGGACTGGGGCTGGAGCCTGAGCTTGCTCTGCAGAAAATGCTGTTTCCACTTTCTCCTGGAACCATGCTCCCTCTCCTGGCACTATGCTGGCTTTTTTTTCTGCCTCTCACATCACTCTTGTCAGTTGTCACCATATGGAGAAAAAAAAGTCAAGGGGAATTTCATGCAGTCTAACGACCAAAGAATTTCTGAACCATGTTCTGTGATCATCCAAAGAATATGTTTTGCTGTAAGTGCACTTGCTTATACTGGATCAAGAGATGTGAGTTACCAGTTCCCTTTTGGCTTTTGTGCCTATTCACAGGGCTAAAATATTCCTGCAGCTTTGGCTGTTGTGACAGCGCCGGGTCCACAGACCCACCAGATGCTCCTAATCAGGATGCTCTCAAGCTGGAAGACTGACATCTCTGCTGCCAAAGTTTCCTTGCTTTCCCCAAATCCTCCTTGTGAAGCATGTCTACCAAGAAGAGCACAGATTTTCTGTTATCACCAGCTCCACCGGGGGTTGCTGAATGACAGCTCCGTCTGGCAGGGAATTCAACACCTCTCTGCTGTACCTCTGCCAGCAAAAGTGTTTTAAGTCTCCTTCAGTGTCAACCTGGTTCTGAAAGCTCCATCTGTCTGCAACTTTGGCAAATATGGGATTCCAGCTGTTTTAGAAATAAACTCTGTTAGCTTTCTGGGTGATGTGGAGAATCAGACTGTTGTCCTGGTCATTTTTTTCCTTCCTCTACCACAGCAGTGGCTTTCTCTCAGGGGAGTATCAGAATACATCCTGTAACTGGAGGAAGATAGGTAAGAGCCACAGAAAAACCTGCTGTTGTGTTTGGATGTGCTCCAACTATCCCACCCAAAAGTTGTCCATCCTCTTCAGCTCCAAGATGAGTGTAGTTTATCCTTTGAGCTAACACAGAGTTTGAGATTCAGTTTTTACTGAAAAATTAAAGTGTAAATGCTGGGAGAAGAAAATTGGTAGTACAAACTGTTTCATACTGTGAAAAAACCGAAACCTCATGTTTGAGCTCTGGGGATTTGAGATAAGCTAGAGAGTGAATGGTGCTTTTGTCAGGTAGAAACCAGGAAAATGAGAAGGGGAAATGAAACTTTTAAAAAAGAGGAAGAGTGGCTTTGAAAATCTTGAGGACCACAGTGCTGGATGAAGACACTGCAGGTTATGTGACCTGCATAACTTGCATGCTTTTTCTGTTGCTGAGAATTGGTTGCACTGTTTGGAAACAGTTCACTATGTGGGGCAGCAGGATACCAGGATAATGATAACTTGTAAGGAAGTGTCTGTGTGCTGGTGGGGTGTCGAATGATGCTCCATGGAAGAAGGCTAGGAACTTTCTAGCACAAAAAGGAGCAGGAGAGAAGGAAGATCAGGTGCAGACATCCATAGAAAGCTAATGAGGGGAAACTAATGTGAGTGCCTTGTGCACTAATAGAAGTGGTGGCAGATATTAACAGTTTCTGTGCTGGTTATTAAAGGGCAGATCTGCCTGGAGTGACAGAGAAGTCTCTTTACTGCTTGCCTGCACTTTATACCCTGTGTCTGGGATTTTCCTGTTCTGCTAAAGCTGGGGGGATGCACGAGACCTGACCACAGGCTGTGGAACGTGGCATGAAGTTGCCACACGCTCTGCCCTGTTTCATTTTAAATTGCTGTGGGCTCCACTGTGCTTAGAGACAGCATGGAGCCACATGGGCTGCTGAGGCTGTGTGCTGCCCAGGGGCCTTGGCCATCCCTGCAGCTTGGGCAAAGTGTGGACCTACTTTTAGACTGAGTGCCATCAGAAAGCCAAGGAAAGCTGGATTTACCTATCTCTGGGCCCTGCTGGGCATCCTGGAGGTGCTGCTGGTTGTGAGAGCCAGGGAGAAGAGGGGGAGCAGAGAAAGGGAGGCCCACATCCTGTTCTTTCTGCCTGCAGAGATTTACACCCCAGTGGCAGGAGAGAGCCCTCACCACAAAGCTCTAGGGTGCTCTTAAGCAACCCACATGTTTGGGCTGTTTCAAGTTTCACACTGGAGCAAGTGCAAGTGCCATGTCCTTGGCTTACCCCTCACTCCTCTGCAGACACACGGGGCTGCACACTTGCGAGGCCATCCTGTTGGGAACATGGTTCCAGTCCCTGATCCCAGGGCTTTTCTAACCCTGCTAAACCCTTCTAACCCTAGCAGGTCAGAAAGTGGCACTAGTGCTTGTTATCTCCCTATCCTGGAGAAGAACAATTACTTTTTTCCAGCACAACGGCAGCTGGAAAACAGGAAAAGAATGATGTCCTTTCCAGAGATCACTGATTACCCACAGCAGGCTACTCCAGAGTTTATTTCTGTTCTGCCTGTCCCTGAGCCCAGTCCATCAGCCTCAGCTGGTCCCCTGGGTCAGCACACTGGTTTCTCACAGTCAGTATGGCAAGTACACATCAGTGTTTGTCACTAGGGACTGATCAGCATCCGCAGCGGGTTCCCACCACCCCAGAACTTGCACAAAATAAAGAAAAGGCCATATTTCTAACTAACTGATGATTCATCCTCTTGTTATCTCATATTTGCACTGTTCTACTGTCTAAAGGACTTGCCAATTCATTAAGGATCAAACAAGCCCTCATCACGTGCCTGAACCAGTCCCTCTGCCTTGGGGCAGTTGGCAAAAAAAAAAAAAATCTGTGTTTTTTGCCCTTTACCAAACCTCTGCCTGAGCTGTGCTAATAGTGAAAGTGAAGCTGTCTGGCATGCCCAGAAACAGCAATTCACAGGTGGGAAGATTAAAAGTTAGAGGGGAAAAAAGGAAAAAAACAAGGGAAGAAGAAGAAAACAATAATTAGAAGAGTTGCAGCATCACAGGAGTTTACCTGCCTCAGGGATGAGGTGGCTGCCAGATTTCAGTTTTTCAGGTGAGCTTTCAGTTTGATATGGAGGCAGAATTTAGGTACCAAAATCCTTGGCATTGTTCTGGCTTAGTGCTGTGAAAGCTTGGCTTTAGGATTCCAGCGCTGAATAGTCAAAGGTCGGGTTTGACTGTGGCTGCTTGTACTGTGCTGCAGGGACAGCAGTATGATAGGGAGGGCTCATGAAAGGAGGCTGCGAGGGACCTTGGCTTTTTGTGTGGTCATGGTGAGGAATGAGGGCAGAGCTCAAAGAGAAAGTGCAGATGAGGAAGCTGAAATCCAGGGGTCACTGCAGAGTAGCAGCACTACCAACCTTTCCTGAGGGAACAGCTCAGCACAATGCTGTTCCTTGGATTAACATTTTTATATCGCTTCCTGAGCATAACACCACCTCCAGCAGCACCTGGTTTTGCCATATTGTTGAACTACAGCCTTACAGAAAGGCACAACAGTATTTTCAAAAGCAGTTTTGTCACTGGGTAAATGCTGGCTCTCAGGTGAGACATGTATTTGGGTAAAGTATGTCCTTCAGAGCACTATCCTTCAGAGCACTAGCCAGCCATAAAGGCCTGAACTTTTGAAGCAGAAAAAAAGGATTAGAACATAGATAAATTTGCTTCAATTAAAATTAATTTTTGATAATCCTGGCTTGGACTGATTTGAATTCAGAGTGCCCAAGATTGTGTAAATTTCATTTATTTCTCTTTAGATGTTTGCAGACCTAGAATAACAGCAAGACACCAAGCAACCACTTGAAAGGAATAATGTGCCACCTCTAAAGCCCAAGCCAAAGAAAGCAGTCCTGCCCTCCTCACGGTGACAAGAAGTTCTGCCTGCAGTGTGATGTAACCCAGGAATGCCCAGGTGCCAACACTTGGTGCTGCAAAGCCCCCGGGTTACTCTGCCTGGCCCTGCAGTGATCTCAGCCCTGCCTGGTGCACAGAGGCACTGTCACAGCTGTCACTTCAGAGCCCTTCTCCCAGGGGACTCCAGACAGCTGGGGCCATGCAAAGGCGGGCAGGCAAGTGTGCAGCAAGCCAAGCACCTGGGAAGGAGGGAATAGCACAGAAGAAAAGGAGCACACTGAGTGCTCTGTTTTTCCATGTGTGGGTGTGTGTAGAAAAGCAGTCCTGTGGGGGATGAAGGAAGCACCTGTGTGTTTCTGTGTGTGCTGAAGGGGCTCCCAGAAAGACAAGGAGAGCACAGCAGCTCTTGAGGCAGCTAGGCAGGGTGGTGGGGCATTCCTCCCCACAGAGGGGAATGTCCCCAGGCCACTAATGGAGAGTCATTGCTAAATTAAGTGTGTCTGAGCCACTTGTTCTTTTCTTACATGTTTGCACTTGTGCAGGAAGAGCAACACAGACAGGCAGCCCACTAGCACAGGAGGAATGGTAACAAGAAGGTACTGGAATGAGGGGAGGAAGACACCCTAGGTGTAGACTTGAGGCATATAACCCTTGGGCATAGGAGGTCAGACTAGGAAATTAGAGACAGCACTCCTTCTGCAGTACTTTTACAGTCAAAGAGAGTAAAGATCCTTGTCCCAGGAAAAAGCGCAGTGTATCTTGGAGACCATTTGCATGGGACTAGCCTTAATACTCAGCTACTCTCCCCTGCACATCTGATGAAGGAAGAGAAGAATCTCTTCTCAAGAGTGAATCCTAGCAGCGAGTCAGAGTGCAGGAGTTACCCTTCCCCTCTGATTCACCCTCCAGATGTGCCTCTTCCTCCATCAGCTACCAGGGCAGCTTGGCCTCTCAGCTGGAACAGCTCAGGGTGGAGCTGAGACACTGCTTTCACCTTCCCATGTGCAGCTGGAGCAACACTCACCTTTTACTTCTAGCACTTGTGTCTCAGCACATAACAGAGCTGCTGCTGTAGCTGGGTGGATGGAAAGGGACCAGGCTAGGGGTTTGATACCACCTCAAAGCCTGTAGCCAGCCAAAAGCACCCATTTGCAGCTTCCTTCTATTACATCTGCAAGCCAGCTGTGATGGTGGGGTATGACTCCCCTCCTCCCCCTGCCAGCACACACACAATCACACTAACACAACTTTCCTTCATTATGATTATTGGGGGTTATATGAGGTGGACCGGTGCTGGGGGCTCTGTACCACCACTAGTATGAATTACAGCTCTGCTGGTGTAACAGCTCCTTTTCCACCAGAAGTGCTTTGTCTGTCTAGCATAGTCTACTGTTATTGCTACATCTGTAAATCACTCTTAACATAAAGCTTAATGATCTGCATCCCCCTTTTCCATGAACCCCTGCCAAACAAGAGCACAATGCTGCAGCTGTAGCTATTAAGCTATGGTGGCAGCAAAGCACTCCATTAATACCTCATGCTCAGCAGTTTGTGGTGCATGAGAGCTGAATAATTATGCCCTTGTTACCCTCAAATGAAATACACAATTGCCAGAAACAAGCGTTTACAATTAAAAAAAAACCCCAAAACTGTATCAAGTCAAGGACAACATTGGTTCATTCATAAAACAAGCCTTTCTGAGCAAAAGGACGATGAGGCAGAAAACAGGCTTACATTAATGAGCCAGTTGTTTCTAGAGCTCTATTGTACCCTCTCAGAAAGGCCTCCACAGCCTCTTTATCCCAGCTGTTTTGAGAAACTTAGCAGGCAGAGATTTAGCCAAGGCTCTTGTTGCTATGAGTTGCACTGATAGGGAGGTTTAGTTTAGGTTTGAGGTGCAGGAATGGGAAGCAAGGCTTTAGCAATGTGATTATCAAATCCCAGTGCTCTGAAAGCGTTTGAAACTGAGCAGGCAGGCAAAGGAGACTGAATATGAAAATAGCAGTGATGAGTCTGTCCTCCTTGCTGAGGATGCCTTGCTGCTCACATCAGCATAGCAGCTCCACACCTTTGGTTAGTGGAGTGCAAGAGACCACAGAGCAATTAAGTAACTGCCCCTTCTTCACCTAGACCTCAACATGAGCAGGGATTTCAGAATCTTGTCTGCACTGATATTTCTGGGAGAGGAACAGCTGGTGCAAAGGAAGTAGCTAAAAGGAGAGCCGAAGTGCAGACAGGCTTGCTTTATTTTGAGCAACATTGCACCATTCTCTAAGCAAGGGTAGAGCATATGGTCACAGCAAAGTTGTCATCCTTTTTGTCTTCCCATGTTATGCTTCCTGTAAGTCCAAGTGAGGACTAAAAAGAGAGCTCTGACATACAGCCCAAGTTTTAGCACTGCAGAATAGTGTCTGCCTGTGTGCAGCACATCAGGCAGTGCATACCTGACTGGGGATGTGCTGTCCCCATCTGGCTATGCATGCATCATGCTGCAGAAGAATGTGTTTGTGCTGTCACCTCCTCATGAAGCCTGACTCTCACCTCAGGACTTGCTAACTTCAAAACAGCCAAGTCTGGTTTATTTCCCCACCAATAATTCAGCCAAGAGATAATAGGTCATAAGAAACAAACTGAGTAAGTGATCAGGGCACGTGGGCTGGCCAAAGCAAGTTTCACTGGGATGCCTGGAGAGGACTGGAACTGCAGGAAGTCCCGTCTGGCACGCTTTACAGCTATGCTTGCCAACATTGCTGTTTGTGGGCCTTGATTTTTTTCCAGCATGCATAATTTGCATTTTTGGATAATAAGCTTCCCTCATTTAACTTCTTAAGAGTCCAGGAAATGCACAGGTACGCCCCACTCCCTTCCTCTCCCACCTGTGATCCACAGGCCTTTCATTGAAAACCACAGCATAGTACAGACCACAAAGTTCCCCAAGACTGCAGTGCAGTGTTTCAAGTGCAGGTGCTGTCATGCAGCTGAAGCTCGACTTGCATTTTTAAAAACATTTATTGGCAGTTACAAAACACAAGTAATGCATGTAAAACCCTTTCAAACTGCTCAGGCAAAGTATCTCCCTGGGACAATACTGATGAGACTATATTGCCAAAAATAGTCCAAGCGACATATGGAGAAATAAGAAAATTAATGGAAAGAGTATCCCTAAAACGCACAGTTCAATTTATAGAGGGACATGGGGGCTTCAATCCCACTGGAAATAGAGTGGGAAGAGGACGGAGTCCTTCAGACCAAGTGATTTCAATCCCAGGATCATCTCTGCCCTCTTGTGGACAACCTTCCCTCCTGCAGCTTCTCGGCAGGTTCTTGTGCAGACGGCAGGAATAAGGCAAAACCGTTTCTGCCCTTCCCTGTGCTTCCTTCCGCGGGCTAGGAATGGCCATTCCCAGTCCAAGGGGCAGCCACGCCCAAAGCCCAGCCAAGCAGCGACCCTCGCTTGGCTCCACATGACCGCAGCTGTGTGAGAGAGCAGGCGGCTGGTCCTGCTCCTCCCTGGAAGGAGAAAATCCCAAAGCAAGGAAACGGATCTGTGCCTGGGCCGAGGGATGCACACACAGTGACCAGGTGGTGCCTGTGCACTCACAAAGGAAAGCTGCGCGCTACCAGCCCATGTTCTGCCCTGCTGCACTACATTCTGTCATTTACACTGAACCAGCCTGGATTAGGCTCCTGAGAAGGAGGTTGTTATGATTCTAGCAATAACACAATTATACTGTCTGGTCAAGCTCAAATTATTAAATCTAGTATTTCTGAGTTATTTTCTCATGGTGTAAAATCTACCACTGGCATACCTTTCTAATACAACATTTTGCCTTGATTGTTTTCTTGCATCTAGTTAATTAAAAATATTTGAGACCTTTTTGCCTTTTGAGTCCTTACGATTACACTCATGTCTGGCAACTTCATCAGAGAGACAATTTCATCTTTAAAATGATTTCATCTTTTCATGTTACAAAATAAAGAAAAGCATACTGTGGCACCCCCGTTTCTGTGCCAACGATGAAGGAAGCATCATTCTCCTCCTGCGGACAAGATGACCACCAGGTAATAAGTAATCTGCAGGATTATGAAACAAAAAAGTGCTCTCCTGCCAAAAAGCAAAACATGCAGGTTTGCTTCCTTTTCCTCACCCCTTACCACTGACAATCAGCCAAACAATTTTTTTAAGATCAGGCAGCTCTCCCTCAACCAAGGAAGTCAGTGACCTGTGTTTTTCTACACCAGAATAAATTATTTGCTCTCAACACCTTTTGCTAGGTTGTGCTCCTTCCTTTGGCAAGTCTGCCCCTTTATTTTTTCAGTTCCATGGAATCAAGACAATAGGAAGCGGCACCTGATTATGCTTCTCACAGGAACTTACAGGCCACACGTAAAAGCTACTGCAAACTACTTAGGCTGGACCCTGTGGTCAGGGGCAATAGTGACCTTATCAGATCTTTTTTCTGGATCACCATGACAGCCATTATGCAAAACCATCTTGTGCTGAGCTCTGGGAATTGTGTGAGATCACTCACTGCTCTCTCAGGTTGGAAGGTGCAAAGGTAGAACTCACCTGTAACAGACCACAACCCTTCCCTGCTCTTTTCAAGCAGTACAAGCAGTAAGGCACAATTCCTTCCCACACTCAGAACCAAAGGGCACTGGCAGCACTGTGTTTAACGTGGGCTAAACATCAAACACAAAAATTAACATTCACAATCTATGCAATGCCCAGTACAGATCTTGAGAGCAGTTCACAGTCCAGCTACTGGACAAGTCCTCATGAATCCTAAAAATCCTCTGCACTGATTCTCAAGGTACTACAAAAAAGCCTTGAAA